GTCCCGGCGCCCATTTCTTCATAGACCCTACGTCTCTCCTTCCTCGTGGGATATATTGAAGAGCTAATACCATCCATTGTTCACTTTGCGTCCCATCCAAATGTTCTCACCGTTCCTTTTAGTAGTAGATATTTTTTCAAACACAGGCGTCACACTCCGTTCTTTTCTTATATCCATATTCTTTTTATTTAGGAGGGTATCCTAAGAGTACAACGTAAAAATCTCATGTTTCCAGCTTGAATTCTGCTTTAATTTCTTTCCAAAATTACTGTCAATACTTCAATATATACTTATTGGTACGTCAATACTATTAAGAAAATGTATGCGATATCTTTATGTGTTTTGTTTCCTAAATTTTTGTGAATATTTCCTTGTATATATCTAATTTTTTTTTAATTTTTCGTCTAAATCCGTGTCTTTTTATATGAAACATGGCTTAATATGAATTTAATAGCTCCACCTATTCTACAATTTTGTTATCTATTACAATTTTAGTTTTAACTCGAAATTTGCCATCAACAACAATTGTTTTTGTTTTTATGCTTACATTTTAAAACAGTATAGTTTTGGTATTTTATTTAAAATGTATATTTCGTTGCCATCTTTGAAGATAACTTGGTTGTCCACATAATTGGGATTAAAGGGACAAAAATATTCATTTTCTATAGATGAATTCCTTTATCTGCACCTTCCATGATCTGAACATGTTCACATAAATATTAAGAAGTGTTGGTGGTACCATAAGAATAAAATCGTTGTTTAGAAATTAACATATAGTCCTTATTTAGATTTGAGTAAAAAAACAGTTAAAGCTCTATGTGACGTAGGAGGGAGAAGATCATTCGATTCCGCCACGATTCCTCCTTACGCAGATTGCCGCGTCTTCTGTAGTCGTGGACTTCTTTTACATCGTCGCTCAGGGCACACGTACATATATTTCGACGTCATATTATCATAATCATCGTCAAGCGTTTTGCGTCAATTTTACCCTTGTGGTTATCCGCTGACACTCCCTGAGTTCAGTTTAATACCACTTCCTTTTACACCAAGAGTTCCTTGACCCTAGCCTCCACTCCATAATTCCGCCGTGGCTCGTTAGCCCTTTGCGGCCGAAACCTAACTCCTGTCGCTCTTGACTCTCACGCCCGTGGCGGCGATTAAACCCTGGTATAAGTAGGAAGGCTCGATGGCGACCAGGTAGCGCTCGCGTTGCGGTTCTTGAGTCTGCTACGGAGCTTCCTCCCCCTGGCAACAGGCAAGCAGACAGTCACCTTCATCCTACATTGTGGGGAAGACGTGTAGGAAGGAATGGGGGAAGGGTATTGAAGGTGGCACATGATGGTTGGGATAAGCCCTGCCATGTCACAACACTGAAGCAAAACATTCATTCTCATGCGGGATTTAAACCACCACACCCTTCATTTCCCGGCTACCACCGTAACAACTACGCTAGGGGTCCCGCCCACTTTCACGTCCTTGTCTGGATGGGTCAGTCCTCCACCTCCGTACCCCGTAGGCCCATCTCAGCTATAAATGCTCATCTTGGGTGAAGGGGTTAGAACCCGCGACACTTCGAGCCAAGAACGTTACGATATCACCTTCTCAACGAAATCGGCTACCCAGGTCTGCTGAATATGTCTATATTATTCCCGTTTAACAATTACAGCGTGACAAATTAAAGCCAGTGAAAGCAAAATGCAAACCACTTCTGTTTCATCTGCTGAGGAAAGGAGACAGGATAAAGGTCTAAACAACCTCCCCTCGCCTATGCTCGAGGAACTAGTGTGACATTCATCACCGTCGTCATTGGAAACGGAAAACACGCTGAATACAGAGTCGCTTCAGACACTGTGCGGGCGCAAACTAAATTGTACGTCAGCATTGTTCCTCCATGTATTAACCAAGCGACAGCTGTGCTCTGACCCTGCGCCATTTGCTCCGACTGTATTTCCCTCGAAGGACGTGTTGGAAATGCTCTCCGCCTACTTCTACACATATCTTGTTCCGATAAACCATTTCCCTCGTGTATTAAAATTTTGTCTGCGTTAAAAATTTCTCTCACTGTATACTACTGAATCTCTGTTTTTATGGGTGAACTGTATCTTTATATCCTGTTCTTCAACAAACCCAAAGAAAAAAATCATAGACATGACATTGGGAGATATTGCGGATCAGAGAACTGGAAAATATATAGTAAATTGATATTGTTCCTTTCTGCCACTACGACATTTGACAAAATAGTCGTGCAAAAAAACTCTTTTTAATTAAAATGTTGTCGAGTAATTAGTTTATATCCAGTTTAAACATATCCCTTTTAGTTACCTCTTAAGAACGATGGGGAAGGGAAGGGTTGATATTTAATATTGAACGAAAAATGCGATGGTTTTGATACAAGAATACAAGAACTGGCCGCTGGAACCACTGACTCAGATTCGAAGAGTTCCGGGACCATGCGGGTCCGAACGAGGGCAATTTACCATTTTTTAGGAAAAACGTATGTGTGTACGACTGTAGACGACTACATGACGAGTTTACTGGTCATATATGATTCGGGACATTATTTTTCTTAATTATATTTTACCATGAATAATATGAAATTTGAATGCCTCCCCGTGACTATTACAGAACGAGCTCGTTTTGTTTAGCATTTAATCTCTTAACACAATTTGGAACTTCCTAAAGCTCTTTTTTTCTTCCCCTCATTGTTAACGCTGAAATACGCATCCACAAGTACTAAGCTGCGAGAGGATTGTGCATCCAGCCGTAATCCCGTCTTTCTAGAAATAAACGAAATAAACTTTGCAGTGGACCATAAACATTGCTTGTGGGAATGTGTCTTGTAACTTCGCGCGCTTGGTAAATCCTCAAGTAAATATCCCGTGGAAATGTTGGTTTTAGGAGAATGTGCCTACTTGTTACTGTGTATTTCCCTCCTAACCCTTAGTCACTGTAACTCGCGTTATTATTTTTTGGAATCCCGTCGCCTACCTTACGATGATATTACCTTACTCTTCTTATGTTTAAAGGCAGAAAAGAGGTTTTCGTTGAATTACTTATGCTAGCTGAAAGCTACTGATGCTAGTAAAAATAATATTTCGGATTGGTTAGTTCTGTATTGCTGTAGTGTTGTTAACCGCATAAAGATATGGTGTCACAAAAGGATATTTTGCATAAGGCATCTCCATGAGCAAAATACTCTATGAGATGAAATGTATTCTGCCACGTGGCTGAAAATGACTTACCAGTTTGTGGCGCCCTCTATCGATAATGCTGGAATTCAAGAAAGTGTTGACCCATCCTTAGCCTTGATGACAGCTACCATTCTCGCAGGCATACTTTCAATCAGGTGCTGGAAAGTTTCTTGGGAAATGGCAGCCCATTCTTCAAGAAGTGCTACATTGAGGAGAGGCACCGATGTAGGTCAGTAAGACATGGCACGAAGTCGGCGTTCCCAAACATCACAAAGGTGGTCCATAGGATTCAAGTAAGGACTCTGTGCAGACCAGTCCATTATATAGATGTTATTGTCGTGTAACTACTCCGCCACAGACCGTGCAGTACGAACAGGTGCTCGATCGTGTTGAATGATGGAATCGCCATCTCCGAATTGCTCTTCAACAGTGGGAAGCAAGAAGATGTTTAGACACATCAAAGTGGTAGACAATAGCCTGTGCCGTGATACTACCATACAAAAGAACAAGGGGTGCAAGCCCCCTCCATGAAAAACGTCAACACCATAACATCATTTTGAACGTGTCCGGATACTTTTGATCGCATAGTATATATCGACGTCGACTAGCGCTTGGAATGTATTGCTGGTGATGTAAATAAAATGTTGGTGATTAGGGAACAGCAACTGGAGCTGAATTGTAAAGGGGCTGTCAGATTGAACTAAATCCACTGAGAAAACAGTGTATCTTCGATACACACGCTTTAGGATTATCAGAATACAGTGTGTCTAAACGTCTATAACAAATATCAAAAGCAATAAATTGCATTCCTTCATGGGACGTGGTATCAATTTGCAATTACCCGAAACTTTCATCTAGTGTACCCTTCGGATCTCCCTAAAATCACTTCACGATCTCCTAGTAGATCGTGGATCCCAGTTTGCGAACCTATTAGCAAAAATAAAGGATATTTTGAAACGGCAAAAAAAATAAAATTTGTGATTAAGAAATTAAATTTCTCCTTTATTATATTGAATTGTTAATATGGTAGTATGATTTGGTACCTATCGATTTGTTATCAATATATCCTATTTATAACATTTTATTTTCACATATTTTCATTGCGAGTTCATGTTTGGAACAGTAGTTTTTTTTGATCAGCTCCTTTCAAAACCAGTACCTGCTGTATGCCGAGGCAGTACTTTAAGAAACGGGCTATACCTCTTGTACCGGGAAACCAGATCGGGAGCTTCCAGATGTGCGGTGCGGTGGCTGTGGCGCTAGGGCGGTGCCCTTCTGCAGGGAATATATGGAGAGGGAAACTCATTAAGTCCACGAATAGGACGGCGCCAGATCTCACGCGCCAGCACGGGAGTGACACCCCTATCTCCCGCTATATAAAATGCATTGCATTTACGGGAATAATGATTGCTTTCCGTAGTTGACGAATCTGGAAGGACCAATCAATCAATAAATTAATGAACTTAGGTATCTCTCATTCAATTCCTCTATCCTGATTCCGTACATGAGTTATTGTTTCACTCTTGAAATTTCAGGTATCATCTGCCTCTTATGTATCACCCTCACGCAATTCTTCGTGAACCATAAGTCTCCCGCCCCGCCGGCCCGAAGCCCCGCCCTGAGTTACCTTCACCGTCTGGTGCAGCGTCCCGTCACGTGCTTCGTTGTTTAACGGGGATTCCCACTGCTCTGTGTTCTATCTCGTCCCCGTGCCTGCAAGAGCCTTTTGTCAGCTAAGTAGGTCGTCACGTATGGCCAGGAGGCGGACTGATTTTCCGAATGGATGCGATCGGTCTGCGTCGCGCGCAGAGGGCTATTCTCTCACGCACGGGCGGAGCGGGGCGGAGCGGTTGGCGGAGCGGTTGGCGCAGCGGTTGGCGCAGCGGTTGGCGCAGCGGTTGGCGCAGCGGTTGGCGCAGCGGTTGGCGCAGTGGCTGGAGCAGCGGTTGGCGCAGCGGCTGGAGCAGCGGTTGGCGCAAACTAAAATTTAAAAAAAATGTTTAAGTTCGATTTTGTTTTCGAGCCAATTATTCACCAGCAATATTCAGAAATATTTATTTCTGTTAGCAAGCCATTCCGTTAAATAACTTTTTACATTCTTTTGCAAATATTCTTTAAGTATAATGTTTTCAAGATTTTGAGTTATTTTGTGATAATTGTGTTCTTTAGTTGTTAGATACCGTATAAATATTCATTGTTGCAACGAAAATATACATCTGTCTTAGAATAAATATTTTCTTATAAATCTCTAGGTCAAATCGAGGGAAATGATAACTTTTTGCTAATAAACATTTATTGGGAAATACAGTGCGAGCATTTTATAAATATGCCGGTCGCACGGGGATTTGATCTCGGTGTACGAGACTACGGATGCCGGGGAAATCAGAAGGATAGGTAGTCCAAATGATCATCGAAGAGGGAAGCTGGCTTTTCGCTACCGGAAAGTTTAATTTGTACTTACGTTATTGATACACGCTGGAACTACTTACCGCAGCTTTGGTACATTCTTGACATCTAAATAAGTTCAGGTTCACTCGATGAAGAATGTTCTGAGGTATTCCAGAGATCTGTTCCTGTATATTGTGCCATAATTCTTCTATGTGTGGATTTGTCGCATATATGCAATTTTTCAGGAATCCCCAAAGAATGAAATTGCAAGGAACGTGCATCGCACAAACCACGTGTTGTCATTCTGTCTTCTTAAACGGCATGCAAACTCTGAAGAAAACTGAAGCAGTGTGCGAGGTTGTGAAGTCCTGCTGAAAATGGTCGTAATTACTCTCTTCATTTATCAACATTAGAAGAAAGGCTCCAGGATACGATGCGATGCCCATAGGCGTGTGACACATTGTACGTACGTGTCATACACAAACACTTTGTGATTGAGATTGAACTTCGAGCGAGCCATCAAACACCCACAATATCTACAAGACTGGAAAGCATGCCTTCTGCAGGGCGAGACCTTGAATCGCTCCCGTCGGCTGAGTGGACCGCATCGTTCCCGGCAAGAGACGGCCCGAGCTGATTTTTTCACGATCGCGGCATACCAATAAAAGAGTCGCGCTGCATCAAGTAATGGCATTACACATGCGGTATTTACATTGAGCACAGATGTTCAGCAGATCGCGTCCGGACGCAATTAAGGCCTGCCAAATTTTTGTACCTGCCAAATATCTGTGCACACGGGTTTGCCTAAAAATGCCACATGTTTAAAGGCATTTCGTTCTACGCCCCATAAGGGGTGGATGTAGATGACCTAAAACTATGCTAAAATTGATCAATAATATGGTCATAAAATGTTTTTAAAATGCTCTAAAGCGAAGAAAAGTAAAAAATGTGATAAAAATTCGGATGAACAACTTAAACTTGGATATGTTACTGATGTAATTGCGGATTCTTCCATTCGTCCAAATGAGCTTGCAAACCTTGGGTTTGGGCTGTGCTTTAGCTGGAAATTTCTGTCTTTATTTATCTCGAAATCGGCCGAAGCGTCACAGGAACCTTATTTTTCATGAAACAGCTGACATTACAACTTCTAAGCGATGAAATCGAATAAGTCACTCACGAATTCTGTGTAGAACATTTGTTGCAGCTCGTTAATATTATTTGAAGGAAGTACCTTTAAAATTATATTAAAATCGATGAAATGAGTGAAAAATGCTTTACAAATGAGTGAAGAGGTAAACAATGACTTATTAGTTTAAATCAACGAAAAATGCATTTTCTTTTGTCAAAACATAAAATGTTACCCATACTAATTGGCATTGTACTTACGGGAAACGAAAAAATGGCATATCATTAAAATCAGTCCCTAGTTAAAAGTAATTTCCCACAAGTTCATTCGCAAAAAGTGATAATTTTTACTCTCTGCATATCCTAGGATAATAATCATTGCAGCTTTTTCATCTGGTAAGAATATGGTGCCAGAATTTGGCTTAAAAATCCTAAGCGCTCGATTTCAAAACCTTGCAGGGGCAAATTTTTTTTTCATATTTTGTATGGGTAGAGCCAATATTCTGAAGACAATTTCAGAAGTCCATTTTCATTACAATTTTTGAATTTTCAAAAATTAAAATTGTCTATTTTTTATATAATCTGACATTTGTTTGCTGAAGCAAACTTTACAGGAGGTGCCTAAAATACTCGTGGGGTACAAATTGCATTATTATACTCGTATGTGGCAGTATTTTATGAGAAAATATGTTGTACCAGTACGAGTTTGATTTATTGTTAGAGCTGTGTCACTCGTTCTCTAAGAGAAGCTGCTTTCTTGTATTTCATCACATGTTTTATATCTTTCCCTGAAATTTTGTTTGCTCAATTTTTGTTTTGTATTCACTATTCTGGAAGTTAGGTACAGTTAGTGGAGTACATTTTACTGTTAAAATTCTTTAATGCGACTTCAATTAGTAAGTTCATAAGTTGGAATATCAATACTACTAATAACTACTATAACGAAGTCATTCATAAGTATAACTATCAATACTACTTTAACTAAGTCTTCTTGTAGTATTATACAACATTTTTATAGTTTATTATTTCTTTCATACCGATAAATTGTTTAAATCTTGTACATATCTGTTCATAAGATAACTCCGCTTGAAGAATCTTTCCTCTTTAATGCGTAAAACCTCATAATTTTAGCTTTTTCTTCGCTTCATTTAATCAATCACTAATGCCGCCATATTTGGAGATGTATATGAACTAATGGTTCATTGCAATGATAAATTCATGATAATAATATCTTCTAACTTCGATTAACTTAAATCAGTGTCCCTCTTTGTTCGTTGGTCCTAAATCTCCTGACGCAATATACTTTTAAAATTGAAATTACTTCCGCATTAAGAACAGAGACATTTATGTTGGAATCCATCGTAAAGCATGGGTATTACGTCAATTTACTCGTGATGTGACGCCACAGTATACACAGAGTTGGCGTACATGTTCGCGCATGGACCAGGGTGGGGTTGGGCCAACATTACTCTTCCCAACTGACTGTTGTGTTGTCTGAATGATCGTCTGATCTGCCAAGTGACTTCTTTCGAGAGCCTGATTCGATCCCTGTTTCACATCCATTGTTTATATTTCACACATTTTAGTGTTTGTCATTCCTTCCCTTCATTATTATGAGTGTTTCGAAGAATACATATTGATCTATTACCTATTAATATTGTATCATATTAATTTTATAGGTATGGAAATTTGTCAATTATTGATTGTCTACATAGTTTCCCCCAATACATTTTATTTTCAAGTAACCTTCATGTATGTAGTAGACCGTAACAAATTTTGTGTAGGATTAAATAAAAATATGAATAAATTGAAAAGCTTTAATTTTATTTTCCAGTTATTTCATTGATATAGCAGGGTGGCCAGTATGAGAGCAATTGTAGATGTAATTATAATAGATAATTGTTTCGTGTTTCGTGAGCATATTCATGTCTAGCTAATTGGGTGCAATGATACTTCGTGCACGTTAGATTTGAATTCCTTTGGCATAAATCGAGATAGACATTGCTAAATAAACGACTGTAAATGATGCACTTCAGAAAAGAGATCATTGCTTTTATCTCAATCCACTAATTTGCTTATGGTTATAAGTAACTGAAAATAGACTTCTCAATAATATTAGATGCAACTCTATGCTATTGGAAGAAATTGGAAATTTTTTGTTACACGTGAACGCTGTTATGTATCAAAAGACTAGTTGAATTCTCTACTTTGCGGGAAAAAAAAACAGTTTGAAGATTAAGAATAGCGAGTATTCTGAAGAGATGTTTTGAAATGTGAACGCTATGAATAGAGAAAAAAGGACTGATATTTTGCTTGGGTCTAGTATGTTATCAAACACCTCAGAGACAATAAGCTAGTGAATTTTCTAATGCTAGCGCTCAGCCTGACCTACGTAACGTCATCCACTTGCTCTCGTACGGATCAATCAGAAGCACGAGATGTTGTCGTGGCCGGTTGCAGGTCTAGCAGCTGAACCTACTGGCACTACGGAGGTGTCGCTATCCTGCTCGTAATGCTTTCCGCCGCGACACGCCACCGCCACCGCCGCGCCGCCGCCACCGCCTCCACC